AAAATATGAAGCTGAATATACAAAAGTGTTCATACATGCATGGAATATGTGTCATCTAATGCTCTGTAAATATTTGTGGTTTATTTGTTTTCCCATCCAGACTTTCGGGTTCCTAGCTACAATACTTTGTGTTTTAAGCATGTGGTCGTCCTACAAGGTTTCGTGCATCACGCAGTCAACAAGTAAGTATCGTGCTTAGTAACTGCCAGAATGCTTCCCAAAATGAATATTTATATTTTCTGCCACAGGGCTGTGTCTACCTGAAAGGATTTATTAATGTCTTGGTTGTTGTTACTCAAAATTACTCATGAAGCAGTAACTCCATGTTTTTTGTCAACACAGACGTATCACAGCTACTGACAGCTGTAAACAAATAACTGCAAGAGCAAAATAACTTGCTTCTTGCAAATACTGAATCTATCAACACTTTCTTTTCTCCCTCCCCTACCGCCTACCAAAAGAAGGTTTCCAGTGTGTTCCTTAATAAATTAGATTAATTTGTTTGTTCCTTTTCAAAGATGCATCTGTGTGACTCCATCATCTGTGCAAGATGTCTGCCTTACAAAATAGGATACCAAAGAGGAGCGTCCACTACCAAGGAGGGGGCATGGGTGTTATGTTACTAGCCTGGACAGCTGGTAGCTTTGGAAGATCTACTTGAATGCCTATGCAAAACAATGTTGTGAACCAAAGTATTTTTGCTTCCCTCCCTTCTCCCCACCCAAAGAAGTTTATAATGGAGAACCTGCTTGTTTTGGAGAAAGACAACTTCTGTCTCGCAAGCTGGGCTGTGGTCATGTCCAGCTATTTGCAATAAGTGCATTTAAAACTCATTTGGACAGTCGTTTGGTTCTCCTTTCAGAGGGATAGAAAAATTGCTTCTGATTTTCTCCATCTGTTTACACAAGGGAAATCCTACAAATTCCTACCTGATCCTTAACTTCCAAGGATGATTTGTTAAAGGAACTGTTATAAACTAATTTGTGCCTGGATACACGGACCCAAGTCTTTGTTACCTCTTTCTATCAGAACTATGGACTTTTTCTAATATCAGCTCAGCCAGCATAAAAAATTATGAACTGCAACTTGAATACATCACTGCAAACACTCCCTCCTAGCCCCAACAGTACATGATAAAATCGAGGATTTCCTCCATGAATTTTTACAGGATATTAGCAATCAAAGATTATTCTTTAAAAACTTCCCCTTGCCAAATACAGGAAAATACGTACCCAAGAATATATGTTTAATGTTTTGTGGGATCTCTTTTTTTCTTTTCACAGTAAGACCTGTTCTGTAGAAAATTTCTGTGCATTTCCCTTAAATTATTCTCTTTGGAACCTAACAGTGTTTATGGAAAGCACATTGTGCTGCTTTCTCTTACATGTGGTGTGTCCCTTCTTCTGCCTCAGCTGGAATCCATGATCCTGGAGACTCTGCCCAGAGCCTGGACAGACAGAACAGTTCAGTTTTGTCCAACCTGGTATGATCATGAAGTTCTATGTAACTTCAATTCTGAGACAATTCCTTCTTGGTACCTTTCTCTTTCCTTTTTGTAGCCCATCTCGGGAGACCTGGAAATTCTTTGCAGGAAAAAAGCACAGGCCCGTCCTCCTCCTTGGTGCTTCTTCTCCTTTCATGTCTAGCTGTGAAGTACAGCTTGTACTTATAAATTGGTTTCTTCTGTCAAGACAACTGCATGGTGGTAAAGCAGAAGTAGGATTTATATAGTTTACCTGGGACAATCTGGAGGAAAAAGCATTTTCTGGCCTGCTATGTATTTTTGAAATTCCACATCAATACTGCTAAGTAATTTAATGGTCCTCTTGGAAAATTCTTTTTGTGCCTTGTAGCAGGTCAACACACAATGCTATTTGTTGCCACCTTATTTTTGTTCTCCCATCCTAATATATCTATCTTTACTTAGAAGGTTTTTTTTAGCTCTTAGACAAGAGAAATTGGCCAACTGCTTAAGTGTCAAAAATTTTGAGTAAGTAAATGAAAATAACTGAGCAGATCCCCCTTCTAAAGGTGCAAAGCTTCTGTGATTTTTCTTGCTATTCCTTTTCATAAGTGCCCTATTTACAGCAACACAGAGCAGCAAACAATTTGAAACTGCTTTAACATTAATATAGAGGATTATTCAAATAAAACTAAACAGGCAGTTTTAATGTTACTGATTGCATATTGACTATTTTTTATTTCTTTACAATGTCCAACTCTGGCCTGCTTTTCTGCCCCATACCTTCAAATGATATGTTTTATGTTTGGTCAGAAATAGGCTGGGTTTTTTTATTTTTAACAACCTGAATTGAGCACGCCTCAAAGGCTCTCTCGCTTAAGAGAACAAACATTCTTCTGAGCTAGAAATCCCTGTTAGCGGTGTCAGTGATAGTGTAGCTTCCTTGCCCTGCCAGCACAGGACCAATCAAATGGCCATATGGGACAAGGGACTTCATTCTAGGACATTGGAGTGAACATATCTGCAGAAGAAGGTACACACACACCTATATATGTATGTGTAATTTTTTGTAACAGGGGTGCTTGGATCACCAGTCCTCCTGCCGAGACTGACTTAACTACAGTTTTTGGAAACCAGCACTCTGACTGTAATTTGGACTGATATGGTAGATATTTAAGGATACTCCTGTCTTCTGTTCCCCCAGAGGAACGATATGTGCACTATTTTTCCTTCACCTCCTGAGATATCACCTCAGAAAGAAGGTAGAAACATTCCTAAAAGCTTTAACCTCACTTGGCAATCCTGTGGGAAACCAATGTTCTGCTGCAGATGGTGTGAATGCAGCTGAGGCCTCAGTGCTGCAGTGGTAGTAGGGAGAAGCACCTGCTATGGATTGGGACTGGCGCCTGAGCTTGCTCTGAAGAAAAGGGTGTTTCCACTTTCTTCTGGAATGATGCCCTTTCTCCTGGCACTACACTAGCATTTTTTTTCAGCCTCTCACATCACTCTGTCACTTGTCACCATACGGAATTAAAAAAAAAAACAAAAAAAACCATGGAATTTCATGCAGTCTGACAACCAAAGAATTTCTGAACTATGCTCTGTGATCATCCAAAGAATATGTTTTGCTGCAAGTGCACTTGTTTATACTGGATCAAGAGAAATAAGCTACAGGTGCCATTTTGGTTTTTGTGCCTATCAACAGGGCTAAGGTATGCCTGCAGCATTTGCTGTTATGACAGTGCTGGGTCTATAGACCCACCATATGCTCTTAATGCGGGATGCTTTCAGGCTGGAAAACTGACATCTCTGCTGCCAGAGTTTCCTTGCTTTCCCCAAATCCTCCTTGTAAAGCATGTCTACCAAGACAAGCACAGATTTTCTGGTATCACCAGCTCTACCGGGCATCTTTGAATGACAGCTCCGCCTGCAGGGAATTTGGCACCGCTCTACTGTAGCTCTGCCAGCAGAAGGGTTTCAAGTTTCCCTCAGTGTCAACCTGGTTCTGAAAGCTCCATCTGTCTGCAACTTTGTCAAATATGGGATTCCAGCTGTTTTAGAAATAAACTCTAACTCTTAGCTATTTGGGTGATGTAGAAAATCAGATTGTTGTCCTGTTCATTTTTTTCCATCCTCTACTGCAGCAGTGACTTTCTTTCTGGGGAGTGTCAGAATACGTCCTGTAACTGGAGGACAATAGGCAGGAGCCACAAAAAACCTCATCCCCTGCTGTTTTGTTTGCATGTGCTGGTTTCCAGCTCTCCCACACGAAAGTTTATCCATCCCCTTCAGCTCTGAGATGAGTGGAGTATATCCTTTGAGCTAACACTGATAGATTTTGGGGTTCAGTTTTTACTGAAAAATTAAAATGTAAATGTTGGGAGAAAAAAGTTGGTACAAACAAAAAAATCGTACAAACTGTTTCATACTCTGATAATAAAAACCCTCATCTCTGAGTACTGGGGGCTTAAGTTAGAAAGTGAATAGTGGTTTTGTCAAGGAGAAACTGGGAAAATGAGAAGGGGAAATGAAACTTTTTTAAGAAGAGGAAGGGTGGCTTTGAAAAGCTTGAGGACCATGGTGCTGGATGAAGACGCTGCAGGTTATGTGACAGCCCGCACACTTTTTCTGTTGTTGAGAAGTGGTTGTGTTTTGCACTGTTTGGAAACAAATCACTGTGAGGGGGTTGGAGGGGGTAGCAGGACAGGAGGATAGTAACTTTTAATCGGTTGTGTGTATGTGTGTGCATGTGTATGCGGCAGGGGGTGTTAAGTGATGCTCAGGGAAGACAACTAGGAACTTAGGAAAAAAAGGAGCAGGCAAGAAGGAAGATCAGGTGCTAACATCAGTAGAGAGCCCATGAGGGGAGGAACTAATGTGAGTCCATTATGCACTAATAGAAATGGTGTCAGATATCAACAGTTTCTGGCTGTTTCAGTAATTAAAGGACAAACCTGCCTGGAGTGATAGAAAAGTCTCTTTACTGCTTGTCTGCACTTCAAAGCCTGTGTCTGGCATTTTCATGTTCTGCTAAAGCTGCAGGAGGATGCACGAGATCTGACATAGAGGCTGTGGAACATGGCATCAAGTTGCCACGTGCTCTGCCTTGTTTAACTTAAAATTGCTCAGGGTCCCACTGTTCTTAGGGACAGCATGGAGCAAAATGCTGCTGCTGAGGCCAGTGGTCTTGGCCATCCCTCCAGCCTGGGGCCAAGTACAGACCTGCTTTTAGATTGAGTGCAATCTGAAAGCCAAGGAGAGCTGCAGTTACATATTGCTGGGCCCTACTGATGCGCTTGACTCTGGGGTGGCATCCTGAACGTGCTGCTGGTTGTGTGAGATGGGGGGAGGTGCATACCAGAGAAAGGGTCTGTGGGAGGCCCACATCCTGTTCTTTCTGCCTGCAGGGATTCACACCCATGTGGCAAGAAAGAGCTCTCACCACAAACCTCTGTGGTACTCTTACACAACCCCTCTGTTGGGGCTGTTTCAGGTTTCAGACTGGAGTGCAAGTGCAAGTGCCGTGCCCTTGGCTTACCTTTTGCTCCTCTGCAGATGCACAGGGCTGCACACTTGTGAGGTCATCCTGTTGGGAACAGGCAGCCCTTGCTTTCAGTCCCTGGGCTTGTTTAACCCTGCTACATGGAAGCAGGTCAGAAAGTCACTCTGGTGCATGTCATCTTCCTCTCCTGGAGAAGGATGATTACTTTTTTCCAGCACAACAGCAGCTGGAAAACAGGAAGAGCAGTAAGTGCTGTTAGCTGCTCCTGTCTGTCCCTTCTGGAGGTCACTGATTACCCACAACTGGCTACTCCAGAGTTTATTTCTTTTCTGCCTGTTCCTGAGCCCAGTCCCTCAGCCCCAGCTAGTCCTCTGGGTCAGCACTCTGGTTTCTCATGGCCAGTATGGCAAGTACACACTGGACTTTATTACTAGGGACTGACCAGTATACTCTGGGTTCCCACCATCCAGGGGCTTGCATAAAAGTTTAAAAAAAGGCCATATTTCTAAATAACTGATGATTTATCCTCTTATTATCTCATATCTGCACTGTTTTACTGTGTAAATGACTTGCTAATTTATTAAGTATCAAACAAGCTCTCATCGCCTGCTTGAACCAGTCCCTCTGCCTCGGGGCAGTTGGCAAAAAAAAAAAATGAATCTGTCTGCTTTTTTAACCTCTACCTCTGTCTGAGCTGCTCTGACAGTAAAAGTGAAATTGTCTGGCCATGCCCAGAAGCAGCACTTGACACAGGTAGGAAGACTGAAAGTTAGGAAAAATAAAGAAGAAAAAAAAATTTTAAAAAAGGTTGCAGCATCACAGGAGTTTCCTGCCTCAAGGGTGAAGTGGCTGCCAACATGAGGTTTCAGTTTTACATGGAGGCAGAATTTAGATACCAAAATCTTTGCCATTTTTCTGGCTTAGTGCTGTGAAAGCTTGGCTTTAAGAAGCCAGTGTTGAGTAGCCAAAGGCACGATATTGTGGCTGCTTGATACGTGTTGTGAGGAACAGCAGTGTGATAGGGAGGCATTATAAAATGGAAGCAGAGGAGAACCCTGCCTTTTGGGGTGGTGAGGAATGAGGGAAGAGCTAGAAAAGAAAGTGCAGATGAAGAAGACAGAAATCAAGGGAGCACTGCAGAGTAGCAGCACTACCGGACCTTTCCTGAGGGAGCAGCTCAGAATAGTGCTGTTCCTTGGGTTAATGTTTTTGTATCAATTCCTGAACATAACATCACCTCCAGCAGCACCTGGGCTTTGCATGTTGCTGAACTACAGCTTTACAGAAAGGCACACAAAATAAATATTTTCAAAAGCAGTTTTGTCACTGTGTAAATGCCAACTGACTCTCAGGTGTGTTTGACCAGAGTATGTCCTTCAGAGCATTAGCCAGCCATGAAGACCAGAGCTTTTGAAGCAAAAGAAAGGATTAGGATATAGATAAATTTACTTCAATTAAAACGCATTTTTGTTAATCCTGGCTTGGACTGAGTTGAACTCAGAGCGCCCAAGATCATGTAATATTTATTGCTCTTTAGATGTTTACAGACCTAGAACAACGGCAATACACAAAGCAATCATTTGAAAGGAATAAAATGCAACCTCTAAAGCATTAGCAAAAGAGCAGCAGTCCTGCCCTCTTAACTGTGACAAGAAATTCTGCCAGCAGTGTCAAGTGACACAGGAATGCACAGGTGCCAACACTTGGGGCTACAAAGCCCCCAGGTCACTCTGGCCCTGAAGTGATTTCAGGCCTGCCAGGTGCTCAGAGGCACTGCCATGTACATCACCTTCAGAGCCATTCTCATGGGTGACTCCAGAGAGGTGTGCCCACAGGCTGGGACCATGCAAAGGCAGACAGGCAAATGTGCAGCAAGCCAAGCACCTGGGGAAAAACGGGGAACAGCACAGACAAAAAGGAACAGGCTGAGAGCTCTGTGCTTTGCGTGTGTGGGTATGTGCAGAAAAAAGTAATCTGTGGTGGTGAAGGAAACACCTGCATGTTTTTGTGGCTGATGAAGGGGCTACCGAAAGGCCAAGAAGACTACATCAGCTTTTGAAGTGGAGTTGGCATCTGTGTCAATGATGTGGTAGGCCAAGCAGGGTGGTGGGGCATTCCTCCCCGCAGGGGTGGATATCCTCAAGCCACTAATGTAGAGTCATTGCTAAATTAAGTATGTCTGAACCACTCATTTTCTTACATGTTTGCACTTGTGCAGAAAGAGCAACAGAAGACAGGCAGCCCTCCTGGCATAGGAGGAATTGCAGCAAGACTCTAGACACTTGGGGAAGAAAACTCCACAGGTGTAGACTCGGAGGCACCTAACCCTTCAGCAATACAAGGTTAGACTAGGAAGTTGAAGACAGCACTCATTCTGCACCTATTTTTACAGGGCAAACCGAGTAAATACCATTCTCCCAGGAAAAAGCACAGTGTGTCTTGGGCCTATTTGCACAGGACTAGCCTTAATACCCAGCCACTCTCCCCTGCAAATTCAATGAAGAAAGAGAAGGACAAGAGAGAATCAAGCAGCAGTGACTCAGAGTGCAGGAGTTACCCTTCCCTCTGATTCATTTTCTCGATGTGCCTCTTCCTCCATCATGTACCAGGGGTGCTTCGCCACTCAGCTGGAACATGTAAGGGTATAGCTGAGGAGAGACCCCCTTTTACTTTTCCCTGTGGAACTGCGGCAAGACTCACCTTTTAATTCCAGCACTGGTATCTCACTGTTGCTGGGTGGATGGAAAGGGACAAGGCTAGGAGTTTGTTGTCACCTCACAGCCTGTAGCTACCCAAAAGCATCCATTTGCAGCTTCCTTCTATTACATCTGCAGGCCAGCTGTGATGGTAGGGTATGATTCCCCCTCCTCCCCCAGTACAGCCCTGCCAGCACACACAATACACTAATACAACTGTCTTTTATTAAGATTATTGGGGGTTATATGAGGTGGACTAGTGCTGGTGGCTTTGTCCCGGCCATGAGTATGAATCACAGTTCTGCTGGTATAATAGCTCCTTTTAAATCAGAAGTGCTTTGTCCATCTAGCACAGTCTACTGTTATTTCTACATCTGTAAATCACTTTTAACATAAAACTTAATGATCTGCATCCCCCTTTTTCATGAACCCCTGCCAAACAAGAGCACAATGCTGCAGCTGTAGCTATTAAGCTACTGTGGCAGCAAAGCACTCCATTAATACCTCATGCTCAGCAGTTTGTGATGCATGAGAGCTGAATAATTATGCCCTTGTTACCCTCCAATGAGAGGCACAATTGCCAGAAACAAGTGTTTACAATTAGAAAAAAACCTGTATCAAGTCAAGGACAACATTGGTTCATTCATAAAATGAGCCTTTCTGAGCAATAGGACTGTGAGGCACAAAACAGGCTTACATTAACGAGACACTTGTTTCTAGAGCTGTATTGTACCCCCTCAGACAGACCTCCATAGCCACTTTATCCCAGATGTTTTGAGAAACTAGCAGGCAGAGCTTTAGCCAAAGCTCTTGTTGCTATGAATTGCACTGATAGGGAGGTTTAGTTCAGATTTCAGGTAGAGGAATGGGAAGCATCAAAGAGGATGTGAGCATCAAAACCCAGTGATCTGAAGCACTTGAAACAGAGCAGACAGGCAAAAGAGACTGCAAACAGGTGTTAACAATGACAATAGGAGTGGTGAGTCTGTTCTTGCTGAGGATGCCTTGCTGCTCATACCAGGATACCAGCTCCACACCTTTGGTTAGTGGAACGCAGAGACCACAGAACAATTAAGTAACTGTCCCTTCCTTACCTACAGCTCAACGTGAACTGGGATTTCAGAATTGTATCGCACTGATATTTCTGGAAGAGCGACAGCTGGTGCAAAGGAAGTAGTTAAAAGGAGGGCTGCAGTGAAGACAGACTTGCATTATTTTGAGCAACATTGCACCATTCTCTAAGCAAGGGTAGAGCATATGGTAACAAAAAACTTGTCATGCTTTTTGTCTTACAACATTATGCTTTCAGTAAGTCCAAATGAGCACTAAAAAGAGAGCTCTGAAGTACACCCCAGGCTTAGCACTGCAGAATAGTACATGCTTTCATGCAGCACATCTAGCAACGCACACCTGACTGGGTATTTGCTGTCCTCCTCTGGCTGCACATGAGTCATGCTACTGAAGCATGTGCTTATGCTGTCACCTCCTGTGAAGCCCTGATTCTCACCTCAGGACTTGCCAACTTCAAACCAGCCAAGTCTGGTTTGTTTTCCCACCAATAATTTAGCCAAGAGATAATAGGTCATAAGAAACAAACTGAATAAGTGATCAGGGCACGTGGGCTGGTCAAAGCAAGTTTCACTGGGGCGCCTGAAGAGGACTAGAATTGCAAGAAGTCCTGTCTGGCATGCTTTACAGCTATGTTTGCCAACATTTCTGGTTGTGGGCCCTGATTTTTTCCCCGCATGCATAATTTACATTTTTGGATAATAAGCTTCTCTCATTTAACTTTCCGAGTCCAGGAAATGCTCAGGTACTCCCCGCTCCTTTCTTCTCCCACAAATGATCCACAGACCCTTCATTGAAAACCACAGCACAGTATGGACCACAAAAATGTCCAGTGCCGCAGTGCAGTGCTGTAGGTGGCAGGCATCATCACACAGCTGAAGCTCAACTTGAATTTTTAAAAACATCTATTGACAGCTTACAAACCAAAAGGAATACAGGTAAAACCCTTTCAAACTGCTCAGGTAAAGTATCTGTTTGAGACAATATTGACCTGAATATATTACCAGAAACCTTCAAGGTACATTTTGAGAAATAAGCATATGATTGGAAACAGTATCCCTATAATGAACAGTTAATTTATAGCCATGCTGACAAGAGAGGGCACGGGGCAGTTCAATTCCACTGAAAATACGGGTGGGAAGAGGGTGAAGCCCTCCAGACTAAATAATTTCAATCAAGGATCATCTTTGCCCTCTTGTGGGCAAACTTCCCTCCTGCAGCTTCTCAGCGGGTTCCTGTGCAGATGGCATGAACAATTCAAAATACACTGCAGGCTTTCCCTGTGCTTCCTTCCGCAGGCAAAGAATAGCTATTCTGAATCCGAAGAGCAGTCACACCCAAAGACCAGCCAAGCAGTGAACCTTGCTTGGTTCTTGCACTATGGCAGCTCTGTGATAGAGCAGGTGGCCAGTTGTGCTTCTCACTGTAAGGAGAAACCCATCCCAAAGCAAGGAATGAACAAAGGATGGACAGACGGCAGCAACCAGGTGGTGCCTGTGCACTCACAAAGAAAAGCCACAGACTACCAGCCCATATTCTGCCTTGCTGCACTATGCTGATAATTTACAGTAACCTAGTTTGGATTACACGCCTGAAAAAGGAGCTGCCATGACTTAAAGTGCGTGGTCATGATTGGAATTATTAAATCTAGGACTTCTGAGTTACTTTCTCATGGTGTGTAAATCCACCACTGACGTACCCTTTTAATACAACATTTTGCCTCAATTGTTTTCTTGCATCTAGTTTTCAAATGTAATTAAAAAGCATTAGGGACCTTTTTCCCTTATGAATCCTTACAGTTACACCCATCTCTGGCAACTTCATCAGAGACAATGTCACCTTTAACATTTACAAGGAAAATATACTGTGGCATTCCAATTCCAGTGCTGACAATGAAGGAAATGGCATTCTCCTCCTGTGTACCAGATGACCACAAGGTAATAAGCAAATAGGATTAGGAGACAAAAAAAGCACTACCCTGCTAGAAAGCATGCAGGTTTATTTCCTTTTCTTCACCTCCTATCACTGATAATCAGCCAAACAATATTTAAAGTATCCAGTGGCTCTCCCTCAACCAAGTGACTTGGTCACCTGCATTTTTCTACACCAGAATAAATTGTTTGCACTCAACACCTTTTACTAGGTCGTGCTCCTTCCTGTAGCAAGTCTGCCACTTTGCTTTTTTCAGATCCATGTGATCAATAGGAAAGAGCAGCACTTGGATTATGCTTGTCACAGTAACCTAAAGAGCAGGGTATGTAAAGGCTACTGCAAACTAGTTTGGCTGGACCCTATCGTCAGAGGCAATACTGACCTTATCAGACCTTTTCTCCTGGGAGCCTTCTGTGAGAACATCCAGCTTTGCAAGTTAGACTCTCTTCCCCAGTTAACTGGCAAACACAATGCAAGCTCTTTCCTCCAAACCAGGAACAAAGAATGATGTTATTTCCTATGGTTGGCTCTAGGAGAACTACATAGCAACACTAAATCATAGAAGCCAAAACAAGAAACACTTATTTACCAATATTTTATTTTAAAAATTATTACAAAATATTTTATAAAGTTCTTTAGAACAAGAAAGCATAATACATTAAAAAAGATCACAGGTTTAAAAGGGAAAAGAATTTAAGCATTTCAAAATTATTTAGATGGAAATTCAAGGCAACACTGGGAACAAAATTGTATAAAATTTTTATTATATATAAAATCATTGTATTATCAAGATGATTTCATAAACATTAAAAATCACTTAAGTTCTGACCAGCATAACATTTAATATCAAGAGAACTGCTTATGTTTACAGCAATAGACTAAAACAGAGATGAATTTCCATCTTAAAGGCACCACCAGCATCTTGAGTCATTAAAATTTTACAGAATCTTTCAAAAATTTCATAAAATATTTCCCTTCAGTGTAGAAAGCTTGGTATTTTTAGTGCACAAATTTGAATGAGGATTACCGTGACAGCCATTATGCAAAAACATCTTGTGCTGAGCTCTGAGATTTGCGTGAGATCACTCACTGCTCTTCCAGGTTGGAAGGTGCAAAGGTAGAACTCAGCTGTAACAGACCACAACCCTTCCCTGCTATTGTGAAGCACAGAGTGCAGGCAGTAAGGCACAATTCCTTCCCATACTCAGAACCACACAGCACTGGTAGCACTGTGATTTTAATGTGGGCTAAATGCCAAACAAAAATTAACAATCTATATAATGCCCAGTGCAGATTTTCAGAGAAGAAGCTCACAGTCCAGCCACTGAACAAGTCCTCACATGTCCTGGAGAATCCTCTCCGCTGATTCTCAAGGCACTGTAAACAAAGCCTGAAAGTGGGTGCAGAACCTTTAAATATTTTTGGATGTGCTCAGCTGGAAAACACTAAAGCTTTTATGTGTCTGAGCAGGCTTGCAACACCACTGCCAAGCACTGTGGTGAAGACAATCCCCAGACAGATGTACTGGGACAGTTGCTTCTTTCCACAGGTTTTACCACCAGTTATGATGTACAGAGATGGTTGCTTTGCAAAAAGAAGAAATTTGAGACAGTTGCCTCTAACAGCACTTTTACCAGAGTTCCCACCACTCTCCTTAAGAATTCCTAAACCATTTAAGCAAAATCAGCCACCTTAATGGAGACAATTTAAATAGGTGGTTTAAATAAGGTAGGCTGATTTCATCAGAAGCAGGGTGGGAAACAAGCAAACCACTTTGCTGACAGAGCATGGGAGGGGTAAGAGACATCCAGCCACACACACAGAGCTCCTGCAGAACCAGACATTTAATGCGGCTCCAACGGCATTCTCTAGGATCAGTCTAATTAAAAGGCAGACATATAAAGCCAGCACCTGACACCAGAAGCATCAATGGGGGCATGTCCAGACTGCAGCAGACCAATCTGCTCAGCCACTGCAGCAAGAAAGCCTCTCCCCTTCCTAACCTGGAAGGGCAGAGGAGCAAGGAGTGATAAGGAAAACTAAGAAGCTATAGGAAGCTGATAAAGCATTTAAGAAAATGACCTAACAGAAGCAGAGAACAGCATACACACTATCAAACCTGCTTCTCAACTACTTAAAAAAAAGAACAAAAAGAGCACTTTATGAGTTGTTAGGATTAAGAAAAGAACACTTGATGAGGAGCCTAGGATTAACAGTACCACCATGCACGTTAGCCAACAACTGGTTTGAAAGCAACAATTTAGCAACTGCCTTAAATCTGTAACCAATATGTGACTTGTTTGTAGTATTTAACTACTATGTGACAGATTCATGGCTGGACTTCACGAACGAAGATTTGGGAGAGGTCTCTACCCACGTTTGTTGCAAGCACGCTGGTGGCTAAAAAGGCCAATACGAGACAGGCATGTCCGATTGCAAAAGGCACAGCAGAAAGACTCCTTAGGTGGTAAATTCTGCAAGGCACGATTCTTTCTGCGCTGCCTTATGTGACAGATTATTGCCAGGTAAACTGCCAAGGCAGAGAGATGACTTTACAGATCCCTTTTGGTACCGGTGTCTCCAGTTCAGGAACGGACACCAGCAACATAGCACTTCAGGTGGGGAAAAGTCTATAGAAAAAGCAAGCAAAACCCAGACCCCTAGTAACATATTTCCAAGCTGAGAAAAATTACAGAAAAAATTACCTCAGGATAAAAGTCATGCCATGGTGCCGCATTGCTTAATAAATATCAGCAGCACAGTGTTGCTCTTACACTAATATTTACAGCTATTCATTACAGATGAAGATTTAGAGACTACAGACATTTTGATGTGAAAGCAAATTCAGTAGTATCCTAGGCAATAAGAAAAAAAATGAGACCCCTGCCTTCGAGTGTTAATCACATAGGCATGATCCCCAAAGTAAGAGATTGCAGAGATATTTCTCACTATGGATATTTTGTATCATCAGTAGCACCACTTGTAAACAAACCAGCTCTAGGCTACACAGTTATCAGAGACAGCTAGAGCTCTGTACACCTACACTAAGATCAGGTTTTAGTGCAAATGAAGACTAATAAATACAAGGGGAAAAAAGCCAGTCTGAAGAGCATTTCTTCTTTACAGTACAGGAAATTTTAGGAAGGAAATGTCTCTTTCATCCATAGGTCTGAAACCAAGCTACAGCTTTAACTTGGTGCTTCACACCACCTGTCAAAATTTTACATCCTCCAAGCAAAGCATAGTGTTAGGCTTAAGTCTCAAGCTATAGAGGGAAACCATCACAAACTCACATTCATCAGAAAGTGGCAGCAATGGAAAAAAAAAAATCATTGATCTGCTATTACAGTCCTTTGTCTTACGAAAAAAAAAATCATTGATCTGCTATTACAGTCCTTTGTCTTACAACAGCTTCTTCTTCCTTTCCCAAATACAGTTTGCTCAGCCTATTTCTGGGGGGCTTAGTCTCAGTGCTGCCACAACAGGTTACAGGACTATGAACATGTCAGACTAGGGTAGTGATGAAATGGACTTAAGACATGGCAAATGTCATGAGCACTCAAACAAGAACTGTTTTTGCATAATCAGCTTTTTCTCATTTGCTTTGGTATTTTGAAATGTCTCCTGGCTTACAGCAATTTGATCTGCTTTTGAAGGCTTTCCTCTTAGGAGAGGTGTAGCATCTTGCTTCTACCTCAGACATCTGAAAAATGCTTTTGCACCCCTTCATTTCTTTTACAGCCATCAACATCTGGTCTGACACATCCATCACTTGTCTGATACCTGTCATATCAGTAGTGTTTCTTGCAGACCTACAGTCGCTTTCAAAACAAATCGAGGATAAAAATGCTTATTTACCTGTTTACCAACTGAGCTAGTCAGTAGCAAGAACTCTCAAGGTACTGCCACATATTTATAAACACAGAAAATAGTAAGGTTCATAATCATTCTGGCAGAACTTAGCATTATCTGTGCATAGACAAGCTGCATATGTATTAACTTTGCAAGCAACATTCACCAGGATAGTACCAATGGGCTGTTAGGTTTTTCCCATTGATATTCTGATTTCTACTTTTGAGATTACTTCATGAAAATATCTATTCTTTATCATGTTCCTCCCCCAGGTCGCTTTTCAAGTTTCTTCCTGCAACTTTTATAGCTTTTCAAACCATCTGACAGAAGATTCTGGTATACAAGTCCAAACTTTGACAATCATGGGGTGCAAAACTGTCTCCTTAATATACCATTTACATTACCCTCCCCATTAAACCCCTACAGTCACTATTCCATTAAACTGATCTCCACAGACAGAACTGAGACACAGGAACAGTAAAAAACCCCAAACCCCCTTATGTAAGGATAAGCATTTCTGTAAGGTTCCAACTAGGTATCCCTTTCACATTCAGTTTCATTAAGTACAAAAGTGAATTTTGCTGTTCTAATTTATAACTCATAACAGAAGCATCTGGTCCATTTATACAGGAAATATCTTTAGGCTATATCTCAGAATTTATGCCTCAGACATTAACCTTTTTTAGTTACCTCTGCCAAAATCAAATCAGCACATTGATTGTGTGTTGTCCTTAAGTTATTTTAGTTAGACTCAAGGTTTTTTAGTGCATGTCACCTGGGCAGGTGACAAGACCAGTCATTAAGCAGGACCAGTTACCTTAGAACATTGTGCTCAAGATGCCATTACCTAGGATAATGATGATGATAGACCTAGGGATCTATCAAAATTTTGATGAGCAATGTGTACAAAATTGATTAGAATTAAGAGACAGAAGTTGTTACCTACAGTGCACTGAAAGTTCATTTAAGTTTGCTCCATTTAAAAAAAAAAAAAAAGGAACAATTTGGTGAAGTTAGGTTTGTTTATTCAATGGTTGATTTTCTGTGGCTCTCGGAGTGTTACCAGGATTTGCAGATTGTCCAGCGATGTTTTGTTTTCGCCTGTGAATGCACTGTATAACAAATTCAACTACAAATGCAATACTTGCAAGAAATCCAAATGTCTGTGAAAGTGAAAGAAACATGTGATTTTAAAATGCATAAAAACAGTAACAGTATCCTAACATTGTCTGGAGAGATTTGCTGGACCATTTGCATACATTAATAACACTTACATAGTAAGATTACAGTCCTCCTTATATTGATAGTTCCATTTAAATTAGAAACAGATCAGAATTCATAATTCTAGCACATTTAATGCAGAAGTTTTTACAGTTTTCATTCTTTTAATCACATGTGAACTCTATACTGTGTTCTAAACAGCCCTTAATAATAAAAATATATTAATTTTATTGCCAAAAATCAGTTACTAAAGCAGTATGGCATTGGTGATATAGCAGAGTATTTATCCAAGAGATGATTGCTGATTGAAGAGAGTAAATGAAGAAGAGCAACACATGGAAGGTGAAGGGAGATGAGATCTGTAGACCCTACCCAAGTCCTTACAGGGTCAGCAAAGGAGAACAAAAAGACATTTTGTGAATGACATTTTGTTACTAGTCTTGGCAAGATAGTGGTAAGGAGAAAGCTGTTATATTAGCTGCTTCTTTCAAACTAGGAAAGAAACATGCACTATTCTAACTCTATCTAAATTTTACACAACTGGTTTGGTCCAAAGCAGTTTGACGCTAGTAAGTATTAAATCACAGTAGTTTTTATTTTTTCTGCACCAGAAAAAAAAAACCAAACCTGAAAGACTTTATACTGAAACTATTAGGTCTAAATATATGAACATCACAGAAGATAACTACACAAAAGTGTCCACCTCTAGTAGCTCATCCTGCCTGTGGAACAGAATTATCTTGCTTTCTTTTCTAACTCATTTTTTCTTGTTCAAGAATGAAATCAGAATTTGATGTTTTAAACTAACATATTCACAATTCCAAGGTTATTCAAAAGAAGTGCCAAATGACTAAGGAATTATGATATCCACAGCATCCCAAAGCCTCTTCAGTGCCTTGCACGCCCTGACTATTTCTGTCACTGAGGAAAATGCTGCTCTTATTGCAGCCTTTGCAAGTCAGCATTGTCCACATATGCTTTGTAACACCTGGCAAAAGACACAGTTTCTTGCTGACTTTGTAAGCGGGTGGCATTATGACAGGACAATTGAGGGGAAAAAAGGAATTTCAGAAAACTGGGGAAGCTGCAAAAGATAACAACATTGAAACAACAACAGAGGACAGAAAACAAAACAAATTCAAGAGAGCTTCCCAGTAGGAAAATGCTGGGGAGCTGCAAGTACACACAGAACTTTCCAGCAATCCTCAGGAATGCCTGCTGCTTGGATTTCCTATGTTAAGTTTCTGGAAGTTCTGAAATAGTTAATTCCCCCTGAAACATCACAATACACTGAATTCTATTCCCTGCCCAGTTTCTTCCCTGCAAATTGAGTGAAGTTAAGAGGGCAGAGAAATTAACACACCAGATAAATACAAAGTAAATCCTGCCATTTTAAGACTTACACATGCAGCACTTTCAACAGCAGAGCCAGAGCTGGTCAGAGCAAACACTATTGATGCTAACACAAACCAGGCAGCTATGATTGGCATGGCCCAAAAATTCTGCAAATATAAAGAAAAAACATTATTGAATTGTAGATGGATTACCTGAAGAGAACAAACATCATAACAGCAGCTGAGTTAACCTGCCTGTGAATTTATGTTTTGAAACTTCATGCTAATGGAATCTTCAGAAAATATATTTTACAACAACATTCCAAATGACATTCAATATTATCAGCTATTTAAACAACATTATCAGATATTTAAGTCTCTCCATTTTTGTCTTTTTTAAGTATTTAATTAATTTCACCTAACTTTTTTCACACTCAAATTCAACCTCAGAACAACCATGCTAGCATTATTCCCTATGTAAAAGATTTGGGAATTTAGAAACCTGTAAGTAAATGTGCTCATTCAAATCTTTTACTACACTCCCTTAGCTTTACCTTCACATAAAACCCCAACTGTTTTCTCTGAAGGCAAGTAGGAAGGGACACTTGTAAGATAGTATAATGTTCTTACTGACTTTACAGAGCAACCTTCTCCCACTGCTGGATTTTCTGAAATATAAAACCATACACTGTAACAAGTATGATCATTACCAAAAAGGAGGTAGGCTACATCCAGTAGGAAAACAGACAGGGTAAACTGATAAATTACAAGCATCATGCTGGCAGTGAACTTTATTCTGTCTATGTACATATATGTGATGGCTATACAGCAGTATTAGTCTGTGTGAAAGATTTTTTCACACAAATCCTGAAAGATTTTTTCACACAAATCCTAAAATCCTGCAGGTAGCCAATGTGACATTTTTGGAAAAGTTGTCAATATAAAAGGGAGTCTCAAAGTTTGATCATTTTTTAACTATAAACTACTTTAACCTACCCTTTAAATGGAGAAGAAAAGGAGATTCATTCTGCATAGCCTTTTTACTCCACAGCAGTCTTTATGCACTTTGTTTTTTAAAAAAATAAATTTCCTTACCAGTTTCTCTACTTTATCTTCCCCCAGTGTTTCATATACATCAGTGCAATACAAAGACAGAATCAGGAGGCTCAAAAGAAAGGCACTGCAGCTAGTGAATTCAAAGAAGTAAAGTCCACCACAATTGCCACAATCCTCCACAATTTCTTCACAAGTAACAGCCACAAAGGAGAAAATCTGCAAACAAATAACATGCTTGAGTTGAAGCAAGTCTCTAATATATTCAGCAGACAGACATCTCTGATATGAACATCAGCAAAGATAGCTATGAGGAAAATCCTCAATCTACAAAAAGTCTGGTAAAATGCTGCACTATTTTCTTACAGGCATAAATAATTATATAATGACATGGTTTACAGTTGCTGCTAAAGGTGATTGATAAACTACACTCAGGTAAGCTGAGCACACTGCCAAACACAAGCTTCTGGATTAACAGTCAAGATTCCTGTTTTGGGGTTTTGTGCAACTGCCAGTTGGAAGCAGACGAGGAAGGCAGCATGGGGAGCACACATCCTGCTCAGAACAAGTGAAAATGCTATCCCTTACTACTTACGGCTGCACTCAGTTTTAAATGCATTTGGGTTCAGGGAAGTGGGGGAAACTGGGCAGCAATGACACACTCAGCTACCTCCCTAATAGTTTACAGCTGATGTCACCTTGCTGGATAAAACTCCAGAGAAAGTACAGGGAGCCAACAGCTCGCGTGCTTATGACCCACTAACGACAGAAGCTCAAATATTTCTGTAGGAACCAAAACTTCAAACTGTGTTTAAGTTACGTTGGACAATATTTAATCTATGCAGAAGCTCATCTTCACCTTCCTGCCACAGTATGTTTTGAGGAAAGAATATGAGTTAATTAATAACTGCTGGATTTTCTACTATTTTATTGTACAGGAAAGAATATTGCTCTATTTAACTGTTCTCTTATTTTGGCCACTTCTTGCTAGTTTCCTTCATCCCATAAAGTTGATACAGCTTATTAGATCCTTTTAGTATGGAGTTCACCAAATTATAAGAAAACCATTAACAGGAATCAGACTCGGTCATAAAATTGAGAATGATATAAGGATGACGATCATACTTTTAATAAGAGTATATGAGCAACAATGAGGTTGACAGTTCTTAAAAAAAAAATCAAATTCTAAAATTCAGAATTCTCAGAAAATAACCACTGGTCTTCGGTTTCAGGTTTTTAACAGTAAAAACAAGAACAACAATTTAGCAGTAGGAACTGTAAATTCCCCCTGCTAAGCCAGACCTCAGAAGGGCACTTCAAAGAATGATGTTTTGAAAATGCTACAATTGTATAAAGTAAATAGGAGCTCTGAAAGGAAAATAAGCCGAGCTGGGAAACTGCAATATTACTACCAGGCCTCCACATTCTTCCCTTTTCTCCTGCAGTGGCTGGCAACACAAACTTCTCAGCAGCCCTCAGACCTAAAACCGTGACTACAGTGGCTGTCCAATGAATGTTTTGAATTCTGAATTTCCGATTTTTATGGGGTTTTTTTGCATTTAAAAAGATCTGCTTACAGCTGTGTCCAGAGACTTTCAATTTCACATTTTTCACAAGGTCAGTTGTGAGATATGTTTTCATGTGTAGTGCTATCTCTTTTTATAAGCACTGAAAACTGAATGCCATTGCTTTCATCTGGGCTGAAACAGAACAGATAGGAAATAAACCCATCCTTAAATAGAAGTATAAGTCCAGATAACCATAATATAACCTAAATAACTGAAAAAAGCCTCACCACTCAGTGTACAAACAAGCTGAAAAAAATCCCACTCAAAGAACAGTTTTAAGCGGTTCTGTGTTAAATACATGAGATTTATCAAGTGGAATCCTGTGTGGGGCTTGTCCAACTCAGTGTTCAATTTTTTATTAATAAGCTGAACAATAAAATAGAGCATATCAATAAAAAAACTTTGGCTGGAAAAACTTTAGGTTCTTTGATTAAGTTGGTGTACCAATAGCACATTTATAAGACGCCAGAGAATTCTGCTTGGGTTTCTTAGTTTGCTTCTTGATACCATTATCAGAAACAAAAGGAATTATGCTGTTGTCCTACTGCAAAAAAAATAGTTTTAAATACCAAAAGCATTGTTAGAGAAGGAGTTGTTTTGGGTTCTTTTTAATTTTATTATTAGTCCTATCTGTCTGTAGGTACACCAGAAATTAAACAGCTTTATCTGTCCCTTACCAGCAAGAAGTTATTAATTGATATTGACATTAATGTTGGAATTTTCTACACAAGTGTCAGGTTTGTAAAGGAGATTTAATAAGTAAAAAGCTACAAAAGAATGCTACAAAAATAGAGCAGATCAATGAACGTGCTAACAGGCCTGTGAAGATGCTTGGCAGTGGTATTTCCAGCACAATATCTTCTAGTTCAGATGGGTGGACTTGCTAATACCCTATACTATATATGATACTATAGAAAGTGAACAGCTCAGAAAAAGAGCAGATATTTAGGGCTGAATTACAATTTTCCTTTCCAGTTAGGGCATTTTGGTTAAAGACAAACAATAGTTGATGACAACTATTTCTCTTTTAGATAAGAATTTGTTTCTACCTCAATCTTGGCACAATATACACTGTGCCATTTACCTTTGCACAGAATTTGAACCAGTCATGGACTAACAAAAACATTCCACCTATTTATAACAAAACAACAACAATCTATAAACCCATGCAATAACATGCCTCTCAGCATCCTTTTGGCAGTCACATTTTCCTTATTTCAGCTGCCCAAAAGAACAGGCTAAGGTTACAACGTATGCCATTATTAATCTGAAGAAAAGTATTTCTTAGGTCCAGAAACCAGTTTTCTGCAGGTGATTTCACAGTATTTTATCAAACATTTGATCACTATAATGAGGAGAGCTCACTTTCTGATTGCAATACCCTGTTTAGCAGAGTGATTATCCCACTAAAAACCACTATTGCAACACAAAGGATCCCACTAAAAACCACTATTGCAACACAAAGGTTATAGATGTTAAAGACCATCACTGGCATTTCCAAAAATCAACACTTTCCCAAAACTGGAACCTTTTTCTTACCACAGAAACTGAGGCTTCCTTCCACCTTCTGGAATTTCGGGGCTTGTTTAAAGTGTTTTAACCAATAACTCCAAGATCTGTGCATTTTGATAAAGGGTTACAAAAACGAAGCAAAAAATGTTGGCAATTAGGAGGGTGAACAACTATAACTCCATCTTCTTTTTCCTCTCACTGACAGATGGGTGCAGGCCATAAACTGCTAATTATTTAGGAGCATATTGAGCACCTATTCATCCTGATTAGAATGATAATTTTTCTTCTTCCTACCTAGAAAGTTTTATAAATAATTAAACATTTTAGGACTTTGGTACACCAGTAAATTTGTATACGTAATCGCTTATTTTATTGTAGTCAATGCACCCACCTAAATAAATGATCTCTTTATCAGGGAGCAACAGCCAGCACATCTTACTTTATTAATCTCCATTAGATGAAGCTAATCATGGCTAGGCTTTGCGAACGAAGATTTGGGAAGGCTCTATCCACATTTGCTACAGGCACGCTGGTGGCTTATGAGGCCAATACGTGACAGACATATCCGATTGCAAAAGGCACAGCAGAAAGACTCCTTAGATGGTGTATTCTGCAATACACGGTTCTTTCTGCGTTGCCTTTTTTCCTCGAGAGTGATCCTGCGTGTGTTCTCGAAGGAGACAGCTGCGTTATAGATGGTGTGTCTCCAGGCCTCCAGGCCTCCCGATTTATTGAAAGCATTCTTGGGTGTGATTTTTTAAAATACTCTTAGAAAACTTTATTTTTGGCAGCGTTACCATTACCTTTACCAGCATTGAAGCGTATTATGTTTTTTGTTAAGAGTTTCGACTGTGTATGAGACGAAGTTTAAAAACTAAATGTCCTCTGGCAAAGTAATGAGAAAGGGTTGGAAATCACCTACAATTCCTGTGAGCATGACACATCTGACTAAAAAGCCACTGTATTGGCTGCAAAATGTACGGTGACACACATTTACAGTCAGCTGCCCTTTTCCACTGCTGGTTTCACTACCTCCCTGCCAGTACTTGAGAATGATGCTCCTCACATCCTTAGCAGCAGCCAAACTGGCACATTCTGGAAGAGCCCATCAGCAGGCACAGAACAAACAGGAGCTTGAACTGCGAGCCCAACTGCTTAATGTGTTCAGGAACAACACTGCATGCACCAAAAAAGCAAGCAGAACATGAGCCTTTTATTTCCTGCTGGGCCCAGGACTGCCTGAGATGAAGTGACGTCTTGTGCAATGGGCCTCCATCAACAGTACACTTTTCTGGTGGAATTTTCTACCACAAATTATGGGAGAAGTGAGCACTCTGTTTTTAGCACAGACAGTGTAGAATGACAAGCTTACAAAAGGGCTGCAGGAGCAGCAGGAGAGGGAGGTCTGGATATCATGACCCAGTAAACCCTTCCCTGTTATACTGCCCTACTGTGAGGTTCAACCAAAGGCTTCTACATCCTGTTTTCATCCAATGTGACCCTCAGAAAAAAATACTAAGTCTCCTGTGAGGTTTCCCTCAGGTTTTAAGCCAGAGCGGGTGGTTTTTAAGGCCAACAGGCAGCTGAACCACGCGGGCTGCAGCACCGCACCTCGGCCGCACGACGCCGACGGCCATCACATGTCAGCACCTACTCCTGCAGCTCGGACATGGAAAAGGAACACTCCTGCCGCTTCCCCACCATGAAAAACTCTTGAGCCTGCATTATAAGGCACCGCGCCGGCTTTTCACCTGAGTTACAAGTCTGCACAGCTTCAGTGACCCCATGCCACGTCTCAAGTCAGGACATCTTCCCGGCGGAGCCAGCCCTTTTCTAACCGACAGGAGCCCTTCCCACGAAGCCTGTGCACGGCCATCTCCCCCGCCAGCGCTCGGCCAGCGAGTTTAATTTTTAAGCGGCGGGAGACTATCCGAAGGTCATCACAACATGCTCCTTTCCATCCCAGCGCAGGGCACCACGACGGCCCCCGCCCGCTCCTCGCCCCCATCCCGCCGCCCGCCGGGCTCATCCCGCGGCCCCGGGCAGCCATTCAGTCAAGGGGATGCTGCCTCCGCGCCAGGCCCGGCACGCCCCGCGAGGCGAGGAGGGCACTCACCGCCTGGACCGCCTTCGCTGGCAGCCGCCACCCCGGCAGGTGCCGCAGGGTGCAGCCGAAGGGGCGGCGACGGGGCCGCTTCGCCTCCGGCTCGGTGGTCTCGTTGTAGACGGCACCGTTCTCCATGGCCGGGCCGGGCCGCCGGCTGTCAGCTGGGAAAAAGCGAAAGCAAAAGGGCGGCGGAGGCGGCGGGAGGGGCGGGGAGGGAGAAGGGGAAGGCGGCGGGAGGGGCCCCTGGCAAGGCGGCGGTTGGACCCGGCGGTTGGTCCCGGCGGGACAAAGGCGCTTCCTGCGGCGCGCGCCATCGCTCCCCCTGGCGGCGGCGGGCGGGGCCGGTGTGTGAGGGGAGGGCCAGGACCTCGGGGGCTGCCTGAGGCCCCGGTCTGTGCTCAGTTCTGTAAACGGGGCTTGTTAAAGTTTACAAGATTATCCACTCTTCAGTTGTCACACGAAATTACGATATCAGAAGAGTTTTTTAAGCCAGAGCTTTCCCATGTCAACTAGACCATGGCACTAATTGCCACGTCCAGTCTTCCCTCGAATATCTCTGGGGATGTGACTCTGCCACCTCCCTGGGCAGCCCATTCCAGTGTCTAATCACTCTTTCCGTGAAGACATTCCTGCTAATGTCCAACCTAAACCTCCTGTGGTGCAATTTAAGACTACAGCCTCTTGTCCTGTTGCTAGTTGCCTGGGAGAAGAGGCCGACCACCACTTGGCTACAACCTCCTTTCAGGTAGTTGCAGGGAGCAATAAGGTCCCCCCCAAGCCTCCTCCAGGCTAAACAACCCCAGCTCCCTCAGCTGCTCCTCACAGGCCTTGTGCTCCAGACCCTTCACCAGCTCTGTTGCCCTTCTCTGGACTTGCTCCAGCTCCTCAATGTCCTTCCTGAATTGAAAGGCCCAGAACTGGTCTCAGTAATCAAGGTGTGGCCTCACCAGTACCGAGTACAGGGGAAGAATCATTCTCATTGAAGACATTCTTTGTTGTCAGTGAGAGAAAACATACATATCCCCAAGTCTATCCTAATATACTACCTTTGCCCAAATCAACTTTTAAAAGAAGCTAAAGATTTTGATGCCTACTAAGAGTAGATTAAGCCTGTTGTATGTAAGCAAAAGTGTGTTACATTCACTTCTATATTACGATCCACATAATCTATTATGGTCCTTCATAGTCAAGTTCAGTTATACTTCACTTACTTAAATTCAGTCAAATTTAATAGGCTGATTAGATTTACTGGTAGAAATCTGAGAGAAATCTACTCATAGAAAATATGATTTACTTTCTTAACGTTAGCTGTGTAGGAACAGATTCCCTGCTAGGGAGATCAGGCTGATCAGACAGTTCTTTTGGAACCACATGGTGCAGTGGGAGTGTGTGTGCTACAGGAGGTAGGAGTCTCTGCATCTCTGTCAAAGCCCCCACTAACTGGACAGATGCAGCAGTATGGGCCAGATATAAGCAGCTGGGCTATGCTCCATGCTGAGTGCATACCAGCAGTCTGTTTGCCTGACTTCTCACAGTAAGACAACACAAGCCAGGGGAACATATGGTGTCCCCAGGCAGATGGTACAGATTTGTCTGTGCCATAAACAATGTTTGGCTGCAGGAACTGGCTTGAGAGGCAAATGAGTAGGGCAAGTCCTGTAATTCCCAAGGCATGGGAGTTTCTGCTAAAGTGAGGTATCACTTTGGGTGTGCCCTAGCTTCTGCCTGGAGTTGGAATGAATCTAACATAGCTCTGTTGGCAGCATCCCAGGCTACAGGACTGAGCAAGTAGGTGTAGTCAGGCAAATTTACTGTTACTGCTTATAAGTCCTCAGTGCCTTCATTACCTTTTTTTACACTAGTACTTTATAAGTAAGATTATGTGACAGAGGCTGACATCTCTCTTCTGAAGGAAATTCCCTTTTAGTTTTGTTTTATTCCTTGATAATATTTCAAAACTGGTTGAATAACTCCAAAGCCACAAAGCACATGTCTAGGCTATGCTGTGGTCTGAGTGGGACAGGACTTAACCAAAATAGAAGAAATTGTCAGCTCTTTTAAGATGTTTGGTAGCATTAAAGGCTATTTTGTAATTGTTCCGTTTTGAGTCTTTATGAATGCCTTCATGCAGCATGGCTAGGTTACGGACAGAGATGTTAGTACTGAAGACAACTGTCTTGAGGACAGCCTGCTTTCCAAGGAGCCACAGAAACACGAGAGAAGCCTAAGAAAGATAATATAGATGGCAACCTCTTTCTAGTTACTTCTGCCTTTAAAAAGAGTTGGTTTCCTGTTCAGGCCTTCTGCAGGAAATATATATCAATGATGCATGAATGATAAAGGTTAGCGTGCCATTTAAAGCCTAACTTATTGAGGCCACCTTATTTATTTATTTATAAGGAGACACAGCAAAACAACAGCAAAACCATGGGAACTGTAATTTCTTGGGACAGAGAAGAAATGAAAACTGGACAACAGCATAGGATGTGATAGCTTAAAAATACTTAAACCATGATGTTAAATCATACCAATGCTGCTCTTCACACAGGTGCAGCAGGTGTTCCTCACCCTTTTCATCAGCACTATCTTTCAAGTGTAGTTTCTTTCCCTTAAATAGGGAATCAAAATAACAGTTACAATAAATAATATTTATGTGTAATGCAAATAATAGTAACTGGCTGGCTGTGATGTGATGGAAATCCCATTCCAGATATGCATCCATTAGTTTCCTTTCATTTATGTGCTACATCTGCCAGTTTTCCGCATAGAGAAGTCTTTCTTACCCCACCGCAGCCTCTGCTGGAATGGCAGGACCAGAGCTAAAGGCAGGACATGGTGGCAGAGAAGCAGCCCTGCAGTTAGATGCTGAGCTGTGGTAACATCTCCAGTCAGCCAGGCAAAGTGGGAGATTGGTGGAAGCAGATTAGTGATGAGTGACCTAGTTTTCTCCCTCATTACATCTTCTCCAAGATACCTTCCATAGTGACCAAAAAGCAATAGCAATTAAGTTGAGAAAGCCACCTCATTAGGACAGATTGCAGTGTATACAGTAGAGCTGTATGACAGTCGCTACTTCTTGCCCCCAATGTTGAAATAATTTACAAAAAAGTGTGACAGGAGCTCCTTGAAACAGTTGAGTAAATGCCAGCCACAACAATAAGGTGGATTCAGGCCATGCTGCATCACCGTTTTCATCAAGTGAACCCTGGTGGCTCTTTGGCACTATCTGTGTGCTGTGTTACAACGTGATGCTAAAGCCTGAGTCCCTTACACTCATGAATGAATGTTCTCCTTTTCCCATGTTCATAAATGCAGTTGTGGGACTTTTCGTTTTTCTTCTCAGAAGGCGAGGGAGAAGGAAGTAGAGGAATGAGAAGGCAGCTTAAAAGCCCAAACCACCAAAGGAGACAGACTTGGTTTCATTGTAAGAGCAGTGAGGTTTATTGCTACTGCACTGGGGAACTTTACTGAAAACAGCCTGTCAGAGGCATGTCTCTCTCCTTCATTTTGATGTTCTCACATAGGCCTCTCAACAGCTTTTGTTCATGACTATCACTGTGTATTACATGAAGTAAATTCAGGATGACTAGCAAGCAAGCAGAATATTCCAAGTACTGCAACAAATTGCTCAGAAAAGACTGAGTTAAATGTGTTGCATCTACTGAAGCTTCTTTAGCTCTTGAAACTCTATTTTTGGGCTCAGTATTGCAACTGAACTTCACAAACCCCAATCACCATACTAACATGCTAGAATGTGTGATTTTTAAACAGCTGAAGAATTAAGCTTTTAAACAGCTATTTTGAAGTATCCCTTATGGCACAAGAGATGAAAACCCCCAAAATTCCCACATTTCCCAAATACAGGACTAGGCCAACTCTTGTCAGTGTTTTTCTCTGTGCATCTGCATGGCACAGTGAAGAATTAAGCCATGAGGTATTCAATAGGCAACAGTTCTGCAGCTGCAGGTATCCCACTACGAACTCTTTGCTCCCCAAGAGGAGATGGCAGCCCAACAGCCTGCTGCTTGCATTTCAGATGTATCACTAAAAATTTAAGTTTAATATAGTAGCTACTCCATATAACCTAAAGTCACGTACACATTTCAGAGACTGCCATTTTCAGCTGAAAAATATGACTTGTCTGGAAATAAAGTGGCCATTTACTCAAAAATTTCAAGCTTAAAATCTGCAGAACAGCTATATTATAAATAGTATACTCAAAAGAACTGATGTAGGAACAGGGTAGAAAGAAGCAGGAAGAGGAAATTTATAAAATTCCCCTGAAACAATTTAGTTTGAAGCTAATCAGCTCCTTGTCTACATAGAACTAGCCTTGAAAGTCTAAAGGAATTTACTTATTGTAGTATTTTTTTCAGTGTTCATATTGCAAAGCATTTAAAAAGTATTGTTATTAAAATTGTCCCCTGTAGTTCTTGTATTACCTCTGCTTTTTGCATCTGATGTGCTAGTCTGAAACTTTGTACTTTGCATTAAAGTATTAAAGGCACACAAGAGTGCTTAGAAGCAAAATCAATGTTATGCATGCTGTTACTCTTTTTAAAATTGGGGTAATCGCAAACTTCCCCCTCTCAAACTAGAGCAAGAAAGCACAATGATGGATTATGCAGAAGTATCCTTGCCAAATTAGCTTCTTTGTTTTACTCAGCTCATTTAGTTTGGTGCCCGACTTGATGGGGAAGGATTTCGCAAAAAGAGCCTTTTGTCACAGAGACTCATTTTGCATGATAGTTCTGGTAGATCCCACCTTAACTGCCTACTCTCATCAAAGTAGTAGTTGGGGGAATTGCAGCTCAAGAGGACAAACCACCACGAAAATCTTGGTCTCATCAGCGGGAAACAAGAAGCCGAAGCCACAGCCATCAGGTTACACAGAAACATTCTCAGATGTTTTCCTTTTGCAGTAAAGATACCTTAAAACATTTTTTTCCTGCAAACAGCATGAGCAGACTGTAAGAAGATAGTGACAGTGGTATTAAAAGAATTTGTACTTTAAGGAGGGAAGCAGGGTGCTTTAGTCTTACGGAACTGAAAAGGCATGGTAGGGAGACAGCCTTTTTCAAAAAATAGTAATAAAAAATTAACCAAAGAACCCCAGAGCTACTGGTGCTTGGGGAAGAAATAAATTTAGAAGCTTTAAATGCACAGAAGTGACATTTGTTTTAAGAAGTGAAATTAAAATGAGTCATTAGTAAGGTTTTCCCCTGTTCCAGCCTCCCCCAAAAAAGGGCTACTGGTACAAGAGATCTTAATG